CTGTGCTGCAGTTATATGAAAATGTGTGTAAACTTTGTGTGATCTAATAATTACGATCCTCACCTGTGCAAGTGCATCCATGTGAAAGTCAATGAAACAGATCCATGTGAAAGTCAATGAAACAGATCAATGTGAAAGTCAATGAAACAGATCCATGTGAAAGTCAATGAAACAGATCCATGTGAAAGTCAATACACCTCAGTTATTGTCCTGGCGCCAGCCATCTTCCCTAGACAAGGGAATTAACAAACTATAAAATCCAGTTTCTACTATTCATAATAACCGCTGGAAGCGCTACAATCGAACCACAAAATGCAACCAAAGCGTGGAAACTTAACTTATCAATCAGTTCACGCTCTTGCTTCATTTAGATGGGCGTGAACCCAACAGAAGTTCCACACAATTCCATACATTGTTTGAATTTTGAATATGGCATTTTAGACGTTGGAAAGTGCAATAATTACCCAGTTTATGGATAACAATTTCTTTTGTTCCGCGAGTACGACGTTTCAGTACATTTTGTTGTACCCCTGTTAGTTAAAAGAATCTGTATCGAAACGGTGCTCAAAATACAATAAAGGAAAAAAATTGTTTCATGCCACCTTACGCCCGAAATAAATATGACGAAAGAAACGTTAAACTGTTATTTTGCATGCTCCATACTAATGCATATGAAGTTATAAATTGATTTACGTGTTAGTAAGTGACGGTACATCATAATAGTACATGTATGTGTGGCCATTTATAGATACAACATACCCTATATTTAAATCTAACAAATAAACATTATAACGTCAAAAATCATGAAAGCTAGATAAACTTGGGTAGAGGTCACGATTTGCTGCTGGATCATAAATTTTAATAATATTATGTACACACATTGTGTTGTCGCATTACATGAATACAAAATACAGAAATAGTTTACTTTGCAGGATTAATAGCATAAAACTAATATGGCAGCCATGTGTGACCTCGGAACAGAATTCTGTGACCATATTTGAAGTACAAAAATTGTTGAGAGAACATACACACGATTTAATCTTCGCAAAGCCAGCGTTTTCATAGGAAATGTCGAATAAGCAATAACAGTAGATTATTAAAGGGTCAAAGGTTGAAGCTGGGTTAAGCAAAACTATGCAAAAAGAATGTATATGTTTTCCCGCATACCTACACTAGTTCATACCTTTCGATCTGTGCTTGTGATGAGCAAGTGGTAAGAACTGGTTCCAGAGTTATAAACTGGGATGGACGTACCGATAACTTAGATTTTATGGAACTTCAAATGGATTGAAACATTGCTTGGAATAAATACACAAACAGCCTTGCCTACGATTGTCCATTTTGTGCAAGGAATGCATGTATTTGCAGAGTTTCAAACTGGTCTTGTACGATCTGAGAACTCAAGTGGATCTCCGAGCGGTGACAAGGGCAAATTCACGACGTGGAGCTATATCTCCGCAACAGATGTCGACGTTTGTTTGGTTTGTTTATGCAGCGGCCATAAAATTTCAGAGTCGCGTCCTGGCATTCGAACACGGATCTTCTGATCTGAAATCGGACGCCGTGTCCACATGAGCAAAGAGGTTAACAACAACAGCAAGCTGACAAGTTAAGGATCGATGTCATCTGTGGGATGACTTCACGCCCTGCTACATTTACGCGCATACAACATGGCAGAAGTCTTGGTGCAACAAACACAAACAAAACACTTTTTATGCACATTGTGTGAGATACCGGTGCTACTGGTGGGGCAGGACATGATTTCCCTTTCCGTGAACACCTGGTGTTATCACTGATCTGATCCCTTCATATATGTTCACTCCCAGTCCGCCCGTAACACCCAATGAAACATCTTTCGGTCTGTCGGCGATTATCCAGACTTTTTATACTCCTGTTGTTTAATATGTCCCTGACGTTTGATATGAAGGGTTCGGTCATTTAATCCGGAAAGGGACGTGGGTGGGGAGGGAGGTCCACTTGCATGACAGTCAAGACAAGACAAGAATTTTATTGTATTCAAGGCCACCGGCCCATATACAGTTTACAGAGTTGTACATAAGTATTTTTTACAAGTAAGTTGTAACTAATGTTTCAACAATTCATCTCTTAACTTACTGGAGTGTTTTATAAACAATGACACATCTCTAATATTTTGTTCATTGCAAGACCATAATAGTGATTTAAAAGCTACATCGGGGGCTTTTGACAGGTAATACTCAGGTATATATTTCTTTCTAATGTCAGCATAAAATTTACAGATAAAGGTGAAGTGAATTTCGTTTTCTACTGCTTCTTTGCATAATGGACAGATTCTTTGATTCCTCTCGATGGACATTTTTCTTCCTTCATTTACCGTTAAATTTAGCAAACCTAGTCTGAATTTTATAAACGTACACCTTAGATCGTTGCATCTAAGTACAGATAAATATTTTTCTGGTTGTAGTAAAGTTTTAAATGTCCTATAACAATCATAGCGTGTGCTGTTATTCAAACGTGATTGCCATTCCTGGTGATACATATTTATAGCTCGATTGCGAAAATCATTAATAAAAACATCGATATGACCAACAGTTTGGTTTAACCAGACATACCCATAACCGTGAGAAAATAATAAATATCTTAAACTTGATGCCCACGTTACTTTGCCAATACTATCTAAATGAACCAATATATTATAGTCTTTGTCTTTGAGTAAGTGAGCTTTGTGTTACGCCACACTCAGCAATATTCCAGCTACATGGCGGCGGTCTGTAAATAATCGAGTCTGGACCAGACAATCCAGTGATCACAGCATGTGCATCGATCTACGCAATCGGGATACGATGACGTGTGTCAACCAAGCCAGCCAGCCTGACCACCTGATCCCGTTATTTGCCTCTAACGACAAGCATGGGTTACTGAAGATCAGTTGTAACTTGGATCTTCGCGGGACACTAACGTGGTTAAAATCCGGGTACAAAATGATTGTCGGATGACTGCTAGTACTATATATTGAGCAACAACCAGCATGAAATTATGGAAAAAAAGACGACAAAACCCATTGGCACATGCAGTAAAATATGTGATAAACATTGAACTGCACACATATATGTTTATTTCAACTACCAAAACGGGTAGATTAGCAGGTAATCCGAAAACAAATAAAGACCAAAATGTGTGACCAAACTTGGGTGCAATGCAATCCCCTCTGTGGGATGGAGGTCTGTTTTAGGTAAGATCAGAGTGTATTACGACTGGGGTGGACTCTGGGTGAGGGTAGATCATTAGAGGGTAGGTGCTAAGTGTTTACATCAGTCACAGCATCAGACAGATGCATCGGAGGGGGTAGGCGTCATCATCGAAATGTACAGGGCTAGCATTTCGGTAAGCCTACACTAACCTTAGCATAATTATGTTTAGCGAAACGCAGACCCTTGAGATATAGTGAGTGAGTGAGTGAGTATGGCTTTTACGCTTTTAGCAATATTCCAGCAACATCACAGCGGGGGCCACCAGAAATGGTTGGAGATAAAGAGTATAGGAACATTAGTAATGTGGAAATACATAATCCGAATTGTGGAAAATATTTAATGATGAGCAGCTGTGGCATATATGTCCATGAACCTAGTGAGAAAAGGGAGAATTTACTTGCACACGCAAAATATAAAAAAATATAGAAAAACAACGCCTTAATATAATATTCTAACAGCGAGTGCGAAGTAACCATTAACTCTTGTGCTGTTTACTAGTAATATGTTTTAATCCAAGTGGGAACGATAGGTAAAAGGAGTATTGTGTCAGCTTAGAAGAAAATTGACTCGTTGAAATCCTAGGGTTTTTTTGTTTTGTTTTCGGAATTAATTGTCATCTGAAAAATGATAACTAGCCTTTTCACAGGCTTATTACCTTTAATTTAACAATCCGTTGAACAAAACCAGACTTTCTAAAATAGCTAACAATTGCTTCTTTCATGGAAATGATATTCGAGTATTCTTGTTTCAATGAGAACCGGGGCGGTGGGGTAGCCTAGTGGTTAAATTCGGGTTCGTTTCAGTGAAGCCCATTTCTGGTGTCCCCCGCCCTGGAATATTGCTAAAAGCGGCGTAAAACCAAACTTAGTCAGTCAGTCAATGAGAACCATAGCTACACTTTATTGAGAACTGGTGTGATCTGTTCTTCAGTAAACTTAGCTGTCTGCCGGTAAATTTCACAGTTGGTCAGAATGTTTCATTTGCACGACTGAACACATCAAGAATGTTGCATTTTATCAAAGTGAAATGTTGAGTATGAAGTAATGTAACTAATCATGAAATTGTTCCACTGAGGCAAATAAACTTTGTATCCGGAAATTAGTCAAAACCAGTTAACTTTGAAAAAATACCATTACGCTGACTTTTTTATATCTAAAGGGGACCATCAACATAAACAGAATTGAAAAAGAAACTCTAGAACAGATTTGATTGAAACACTTCCATTAATGACATTAAGTACATAACACGGGGAATATGGAAATACCTAGTCTGTCTCACAGCCCTAGACTAACATCTAGTCTCTGAAATGAACATATTTTACAGAAAAAAACACCAGTTCCTAAATATTATAATCATAAAATATAGTGAAAAGGAGCCCAGTGACTATCTTCATTTTCAGAAACTGAAACTGTGAAATCTACACTTGCCACATATTCTAAACTTGCATGGGCTTCCTTGGATAAATTCGTTTCTGAGTCTGTATGACAGACTATCACAGTCCCTGAAACACATTGTGAAACCAACGAATACCAAGCCCTCCCTGCAATGCTACAGCCCTAAATGAAGCAAGTCTAGATTTTCCCAGGTTCAGGGAATCTGAATCTCCCAACTCGCTGAGGCTCCTTTTCAATTTAAGTGGGTTTATATGTTGCTATCAAAATTATATATATTCATTGACTAAGCGTTAGTCATGGAAATATCTGCTATGTACACCTTTTCAGACGCCCACTTGGAGTCCTGTTGGTTTATCTCCCCTTGATGCACCGACAGAGGGCGATGGTTTGTTGTCGTTTGAGACCGGCGGAACTGATTTCCACGTGAGAAAAGCCTTCTAGAAGTTTCGCCAATTAATCTGTGTTTATTCCCGGAACCCAGTTACTATGGCCGAAGTACAGTGCTACAACAAAGGGTGTGGTCAGAAGTTTGACCAACAAAATAATCTCGATGGTAAGGATTGTCTTTGGACGCGCATAATCAGCTGGTAATGATTGAGAGCGACATGTGCTTATAAAGTCGTGATTTTATCTGACAACCGATTTGGGCCAAGTTTTTGTTTGAACTGTTATCATTGTTACGCTCTTCGAGTTTTGAAGCTCAGATTCAAACAGTTCACATCTCTGTCGTTTCAGTTCATACTTCCGTCAGTGAGTGACCATTGAACTATAATTCAAGTTCTCAAGTTCCGCAACCCTAGTTTCTCTATAAGACTATTTTATTGGCTGTCGCCTGATCCCGCCAGCTATGGACGATTTTCTTAGGCATTGTCATTTTCCAACTACACTAAGTTATTTTGACATTAAGTTATTTTGACATGTTCGGCTGGTATTTTTCTCGTGAATTTTCCCTTTCTAAATTAGCAGTTTTGAACTGTATCCTACAAGCATTTGCAAATGTAGCCCCTTTAGATCCTTAGTGAGTGAATGTTGTCTTATTGCGACAGTTGTTCATAATCAAGCCTGGGTCAGGTAGATCACTGATGTCGGAGACAAGTAAATGGTAATGGTACAGCATTTTGATGACGAATACCTCACCATCTTGCAGAGCTACAGATAATGTTTTGGGTCATTGAGTTATGTACTCACTTGTGTTCATATCAATTGGGTATACTAATTTTCCTTTGAGTAACCAAATAAATTGTACTCACCTCACTCAATCTCAGTAGGGTATTTTGCCATTTTCCATTAATTGTAAAAATATAATAAAGTTTAAATGTTAGTGTTTATTATTTATATTTGATCTGTAATATGAGAAATGATAAGAAAGACTGCAAGCTGCTGAGATTGTGTCATGAAATAGAACCTCTCAGTATACCTCAGTTATTTTGTCTATCCACTGGTACGCAAGCTAAGATATGACATTATTGTGTGTACCTGTACGCAATAGGCTTAGTAGGAATTGAGTTTTCACATAAATATTTGCGTAATTTATGTAGATACACAGCTTATCTGTACCTCTGATCATGACCATAGTAATATTAAAATTAGTAATGCTCAAGGGGTTGATGTTGGCATGGGTACTACAGATGTGTATACAGAAACGTACCCTCGTCAATTCAGAATACAGAAACATACTTAGGAAGAGTCCATTCTGCATTCTGTCGTTTTCTTGATTGGAACTGTCATTGTCTTGTGTTATATGCATGTGATTGCGTTGTATATGAAACGAACATACACAGTAATGGATATTTTGTGATGCATAATGCCACTCATAATCAGTTGAACGGGAACAACTACGTACTGTTTCGGTTTATGCATTGCGGAATATGGACTCATCCGCTGTTTAGGGTACCGGGTACATTTCTGTATTTTGACTTTGTTCAGGGTATGTTTCTGTATACAGAAACCTACCTGGGGTACGTATAGGTTAATCACCTTTGCAAGGTAGTTATTTAAAGGTCACATAAACCCTAGGGGGTACAAATACATAAATCACTAACTGGCATCGTTATAAATGAAACCCTGTCATTAAAACTACTCATTTCGACCTTTAATTGACTTAAATCGACCTTTTTGACAACAGTGCACAATTCTCACCCGCGAACGAAATTTCAACCAATCAGAGCGACGCGACTCTGTGACGTCATATGAGGAATAGCTTTGAGAGCCGATGCAGAATTCATCTACAATTTAGGGGGTTAATTATCGTGTTTTCAGGCTTGTATAAACCTGAAATCGTGACAATTGTTGTGGAAAATGAAAGCTATATGTTCTCACAATCTACTGTCATTTAATTTTGTCTCCTGCTTTGCCTAGTTTCCGAGTTGCAACTTGTTTTCATAGACGATTCTGTCAAAATCGATTGGTGTCGTTAGGCCCTATTTGTATAATGACTGATCCAAATTGATCCCATTTCTGTGTTGTTTTACCTCGATATTTAATCATGTCATGTAAAAATCTGTTTGTATTCTCAAAACAGTGTCGGCCCATAAGTTTTCACATGCAATACAGCAATTAATACTCCCTCGTTGTAACCCGTGTTAGGTGGTACATGTATAAACCTACACATGTTATTTGTCATCATTCACTTGATGGTCAGTTAATGAATTTATAACAGGTATAATTAGTGGTAACACACTTAGATTACCCGACAAAGGTTCCCATTTGGCATTTCTTGTGTCTGGAGTAAATATTCAACATTATAAACATCGATCAAAGGATTAACCGATAACACGCTGATTGATTAATTACTTTTATCTTACACAGCGAATTGTCAAAAGGTAGTGTTTATGTATGTAGATTTACTAATCTATACTGAATACACTCTGTCGCGGTCGGTGTTCAAGCAGAAAAACAACGCCCTTCTTTCAAAGGATTAACCGGCAATACATTGATTGATTGCCCATTATTGGCTAACTAAATTACTGTTTTAAAGAAAGGCGGACATTATGCAATTAGTTGCCAGGTGTGCTATCTTGGGTGACCAATGAGACTATACACCAATACCTGAAAAGATTTATCACTTTTTTCGTATATTAAACTGTTAAAAGACACATCATTTGGAACAGTTTTGTGGATATTGATGGATACATTCCTCGAACAAGGTAATGGCCTGATATTGTTCCTATAACTTTAATCTGTTTTAATTTTAATATTTGCATTTTGTTTTATTCATTTGTCGTGTAGCATTCAACAGAATCATATTTTTCACGTGAAGTGTAATGAGACAGACAACATGCACTAGGGTGTGTGTGCTAATTATGATTCACATTGGCAAACTATAAAATGTCTAGATATTACAGTTCTGTTATAAATTCACTATAAGTATCAGCAGATCGCCTGCTTTTATTTAGTTTCAAAATGCATACAAGTGTGATAATAAACTAATTAGGATTATAAGACCAAATATAAAGACGCACATTGATTGACTAGTATCTACATACTGGTGAGTGGACATTAACCATGGGAATGTAGCAAGAAATTTATCGCGCGAGTATTGTGACTTGACCCCACCTCGCCTCCGTGGAAGAAATCGTTATGTTATAAGTTGTGTCATGCAACATCCGTTTGGTTATGATTCCAATACATATTTAACAACGAAAGTAGAAAGTAGTCTTGATTTTCTAACTTGATGAAAACAAACTATAATCTCATTAATTCTAACAGATTTTTATTTTTTAAAATGGCTAGCCCCTTCGGGAACATCCGCCAGTCTGAGGATAAATGGTATTTAGGTTTGTTTTCACCGAAAGTTACAAAATCAAAACTACTTTTCTACTGGTAGTAAAATGTGTATTTTATTGATGGCCAATAGGATTTTGCATGACATAGCGTATATCATAACAATTTCTCTCGCGGGCAGCGAGGTGGGTGTCAATATAATACTACTTACAATATTATTGTTACTTCGACCACAACCTCACTTCCGAGGAAGAAATCGTTATGTTACAAGTTGTGTCATAGAAAATCTTTATGGTCATCAATCATATGCATATTTTACTACAACTAGTAAGTAGTTTTGATTCTTTAACTTCCGTGAAGCGATCTGAACACAAGTAAGATATCGTTTCAGGCTTCCACAACGCCGCCGCGACTCACAAACATAACCCATTTAGCACGAACTGCGGGGTCCTGTGGAAATCTGTGCATGGGGACACCATCGCCCGACCCTAGGAGCAATTGACGACAAAGCAACGATTCGGCATGTCGCCGTTCATGTCGAAATCATCAAAATGATGAGCGTGCTACACATTTTCTATACAACTAACTGAAAATCGTTCCTCATATGACGTCACTGCAGTGCTCTGGCGACAGAGTTACGTAACCTGTCTGTGGTTTCGTTGGCGGGCGAGAGGGAAGCAGGCGACTTTTTGGCCACTTTTAATGGCTCGGTATTAATTAATCACAAGTTTTTAAACATTAAATTTGGTGTTCCGCATAAGACTAACCACAAATCTTTCATATGTAATGGTTAAAAGAGTAACAAAAAACAAAGTTTAGTGGTTCTTTAAATAAACTCTGAGAGGGCTTTATCCTGAGCAGAGTTTATTTAAATAACTACCGTAGTGAGGGTGATTAAACGGCTTAAATCACGAGGGCATTATTTAGCAGGGCTCCAGATAAATTTTCAACATCAGGAGTACGTACTCCTTACTTTTTCAATGCAGGAGTACTGGAAAACCTAAAGAATACATTTAGAGTACTTAATGGAATTTAATGGAGTATCAGTAATCTTGTGTTTTTTTTATATATGCACAACAGCATTGCTACTCTTGTGTAAACAGGTCAATAAACAATAAAACAATACTTTTTCAGATAAATACGTCTGATAATGATTCTAAGACTGTACACCATTGCTGTAGTGCGATCTGCTACGTTTTTCTAAATTATTTCCTACAGTATCGCGTGCACATTTTATATCCAGTACATACACCAATACGGCCCTTATCTGGAGCCCAGTTTAATATCTCGCAATGTATTAGGCTTGATGAAGATTGTCAAAACGAGTACAATTTTATTGTTTTAAATAGGGCAGTTACTCAGTTATGCTAATAAGACACTTCCAAGAACAATGGACACAACTTTCCCAAGTGGTTTAAATATATGTAGTACAATGTACCTGTGGCGACAACGACCCCTTCAGCTTTAGTAACAGTATTTGGTTTAGTGAAGATGTATCCTCGTGACTTATGTCTGTAGTGACAGACAGATTCAATAATACAATGAAAAGCTGGCAACACTTTACTCATAATAAAGGGTGTTAGAAATAAATCCATCAGCTGACGCAGACTTTTGTTTGTTCCAGATGCATGTACATTTCACCCTGGAGAGCCAGTGTTCCATGATGCTCTCAAAGGCTGGTCCTGCTGTGATAAGAGGAGCACAGATTTCACCATGTTTCTCAACTACCCTGTATGTTACCATGGTTACCAGGGCATCTCTTTCAAATATATGCCTAATAACTTAGCTGACTGTTTAGTTTAACATACCAAAACTAAATAAGGTTATAGCTAAAATACATGGAATTATCACGAAACGGCCCTACCATTATCAAAAATTGGCGGGCCGCTGCAAATGATATTGGACTATCAGTTCTGTTGTCAAGTGATGTCATAGTGGGTGCATGGGCTTACGGTTCATTCGACATTGGCTTTGGACTGGCAGATATTCTGGGTCAAACAAATCAAAGCAACCCGAATTCCCCCGCTTTAAATAGCGGTAATATTGGCTTTCTTGTTGGTGCTAACCTTAACAATTGAACTATTAATGTTGTTGTTTGATCAAAACCGAACACTGACATAGTTTGACATGTTGCAGGCTATGGTCTTGTCAAAGGCCAAGGTCGAATATCGTCACTTTCTGTTGTGACGTCACTTGAATTGTTCGATGGCGTAATTGCATTCGGGCAATCAACCCCGTCAGAAGTTGGTTTTGAGTAAACTTAGTCAAATTCCTTCATTGTTTCCTTTTCTTTTCAACACAAATTCCATGTATTTTAGCAATAATAACGGTAATGCTATTTTTGAGGGCATTATCATTTGCAGAAGCCCACAGGCTTTTTCAACTGCCCTCCTTTGTCGGGCAGTTAATGGAAGACCTCGGGCTTCTGCAAATGATAATGCCCTCAAAAATAACATTACCCTTATAATAACTGTGGAAGATGTGGTATTGTTTAGTAAAATAATGTAACTCAAGACCACCGTTTCCATTAGTTCCAATCAGGAATCGGTTGTGTTTTATTGAACATCTTGAGCTTTTTGAAACATAAACAAACTTGTATTTGCCTGATTAGTAAATCAAATACTGGACAACAAAGTCACTTGCAGTTTTGTTATTTCTTATTGTTAATATCAGTATCCCAGGATGCTTAAAATGTTATTTGTTCAAGTCAGCAAAAATTGTTCACCTCTCTTGCCTGTTACCATGGTAATTGCTATAGTTAATGGTGATGATTCAAACCAGTGCTGCAGTGTTTGACCTTTCACTACAGAACTACATGTCCCGAGGACACTATTACTGTTTTCAAGGGTCCCTACTGGGTATATAAGGGCCCTTTAAAGTAATCAGAATGTTGTGTACTGTTCTGTAAGCCTAAAACAAAATGTTGTGGTTCCGAATACCTGACCGACCCTTGAATTCTTGTGCCGACCCTAGTTTTTTTAGAGGTATGAATAAAATAAGCTTCCAGATACCATTGTTTCTTCCTGGCACCAACGGACATTGGCCATTCTGATAAAGAAAGTCAACATGATGGCCGCAAGCTAGATTAAATAAACAATTACACATTGATAAATGTGTTATTAGTTGAATCTTAACTTCTAAAAAAAATGTAAACAAAAAAAAGAATTCCTACCTACCTACCCTAAATTTTAAAGAGGTGTAAACGGAACCACAACATATTTTTTGTTTTGCTTAAGATGTACCGGTAATCATTACATTTATGACCATGATAACAGGGACTTTACATTGCTTGTCTAGAACTGAGTTCAGTTAATATTATTGCAGGGCTCGATTTAGTGCTTTGTTACTTGCACAGGTGCAACCCAATATTATAAAGTGCAACCTAGTTATTAGTCTAACTTGCACCAGGTGCAAGTCAATTTTTGAGTGGGTAAACTGCTGAATAAAACATCTAAGTAATTCAATAGCATATTTCTTTCTTTACATATTGCAATAAAAGCAGTGCAACTGGAATTTGGGTGGTGCAACTATGTTTTTATGTTAGGTTGCACCTGGTGCAAGTAGGTTAACATCTCTTAAATTGAGCCCTGTTATTGTGTGTCGTTGTGATGCATTATGTATTTTTTCTGCATCTACTGTATACAATAGTGTGTTCTGGACACACATTTCTGCATGACTGTCATTCAATAAGGAGGCTGCACTGAAAATTGAGAAAAGTGTGTATGAATGTTTGATCATGATGATAGAGTGACTGTCAGAGATGTAGATCAGCTGCATCTTAGGTAAAATATGCAGTGATTACCCAGTTAGTTTTGAGCTGCTTGTGTATAGATACCTCTAAAAATTGCTATCCAAAAGTTGTACATGGTATGACAGCACTCAGTATATCCTTTTCAACTTGCTTTACTTTCTAGGTATTTCTTTATTGATCTAATGCAGGTGTCACACACAAATGAACAGTGATGAACTTTCCCTGTTCTGTTCCCTAAATGTATCCTAAAAGCTGACACAATTATGAACAAATGGGGAGATGTTTCTGCATTTTATCAAAGTTCATGTGGTACAATGTGTGAAGCCCATTTCTGGTGTCCCCCGCCGTGATATTGCTGGAATATTGCTAAAAGCGGCGTAAAACTAAACTCACTCACTCACTCACTCAAAGTTCATGCAGGTAGTCTTTTTATGTCTTTTTCTATGCCTGGTCAGATTTGTATTTTCTTTTACTGCAAAACCTTGGTGCGGAATTTTGAGCAGAGTTCTTTTGAAAAATGCCATAATAAAAAAATGCTGAACAGGCCAAAAATATATGAAATACCTACTGTGAATGTGATCACTTTATAGAATGTGGGGCTAAGACTTTCTGATTTATCCTGAAGTCCACTTTTGTTATCACATAAACAATATTTACTACACCATGCTTCAAACAGACTTGTGAAAAATGGAATATTTATTACACCTAATTAGCCTCTGATAATGCTGTGTTTACTTCCTTCTTTGCCATCGTCCTCAGATTTCTGTTTAATACAAAACCTAGAAACTGTCAGTTACCATGGTTACTTCTACAGGTGTGAGTGTTCTCACATTAAGCATATTAAAGTTCAGCCTGTTCAATATGTGCCTGCTTTTCATGCAAGCATCGTAAACATGGTAAAGGCTGTCAAACAGCCCATAACACTTCCTCTGTGTTTCACAAAAGACTTAGTATAACCAGGTGTCAGTTGACTGAAATTTCCCACTGGCAACCCATAGTTTTAAGAAGCAGCGCAACTTACCAACCTGAAAAAATCAAACTGTCAATCAGATCTTACTTTTATAGTCCGTTTGGCTCAAAAGCGGACCGATGAATTGCAATCTTACTCGAAAACTACTAGACATAAAATACTCAATGGAACACTGATCATAATGAAAACGTCAGACCAACTCTGTGAGGTTTTTGCAGAATTTAAGTCCTAAAAATATAAAAGTTGTTTACAAACTATCATTAAAAGATTGACACTGTTCACTATTTGTTATGAGAGGAGTGCAGAGAAAGGGACAGCCAGGTGTGCGAGAAAGGATGAAGACGGCACAGCACAGTTTAATGAATCAATAACTTTGTCGGCACTTGTGCACGTGCTTCTCTAATACCTGGCTGTCCCTTTCTCTGCACTCCTCCCTCGTAACAAATAATGAACTGTGTCAAAATTTTAAGGATAGTTGGATAAACAACTTTTTGAATCTTAGGAAAAAAATTCTGCAAACAAATCACAGAGTTGGTCTGATGTTTTGATTATGATCAGTGTTTCATTGAGTATTATATGTTTATTAGTTTTCGAGTTCGATTGCAATTCATCAGTCCGCTTTTGAGCCAAACGGACTATAGCATAAAATGAGATGTAGAAGTATGGTGCATTCCTATATGTGTACAAGATTTCTGTTGTGATTAATTCAGGTTCTAAGGTTTATTGGTTATTCTAAAACAGTATTATATAGAACTGACTATAATCATCATAATCTCAAGATTTTGGCAATAAGTCTCTGGAAAAAATCCTGTTATGTGTAAATGGTTCTTAAGGAAAATATCAAACTGAGCGTATTATTTCACACTCTTTATGAAATGCCTGTGTGATTTGAAAATGGAAAACACTTGTAGATATTGTTTCAACGGAATATTGTGTGTAGTATACATGTACAATGAGTGTCATTTAGACATTGGTGGGATGAACAAGGGGGATAATTCTATGGAAATACTACTTCTTTATTAATTCAATCCGGTGTACAAGGTCCACGCAGTGACATACTATACGACATCTTGTATCTTGATACTGTTTTAAACTCCATGTACATCAGCTGTGATATTGTTTGGATTCCTGCACATGTTGGTGTAGCTGGAAAAGTAGTTGACACAATTGCTAAGATGGCTTGCAATAGACCACAGCCAGATATTCATTCAATTAAGCCCATTCCAAGAGATTACTGGTTTGTCATTTCATCTTCAATAACTGCATCTTGGCAAAATAAATGGGATAATGAAACTACAGGTAGACACATGTACTCTACTTGTACTGTAGTAAACAAACATTTTAAAATTCGTCGGCGTTGTCGCAGAGATGAAGTTGTTTTAACTCGTCTCAGGCTGGGACATTGTGGATTAAAGGCATATAGAAGTATTTTAGATAAAGACCTATCTCTTCTGTGTGAAAGCTGTAACTTACACTGCCCAGAAACAGTTCAGCACTACCTCATTGAATGTCCAGCTCATGAAAACCCACGTAAGGCTCTTAAAGAAACTGTGCTTAACAAAACCCAAAATACTTTTTCAATGAACGCAATACTTGGCGATAATTTAATGTATGGTTGCATACAAAGAGCTGTTTTAGACTTCCTCGTTAAAACGGGTAAGTACCATGTAATTTAACTGAACAAAAATTTAACAGTTTGTTAAGTGTTGGGCGCATATAGGCCTTTTAAGGCCCAAGATCGCCCTAAAACCTTATATACCTACCTACCTACCTACCTACTTTCTTAATTACAATATATGTGATGTTTTGGTGTAGATGATAACACTGTTATGAAGCAGGTGTTAGCATCTGCGCTGAAATGTCGCATATAGTAAGGGCTGTGCAATAATACCGGTAAACTGGTATATACTGGTACAGTATCTTTGATATGGTTCAGATTCTGCAATATATTGCGTCACCTAGAGTTAGCTCCCTTTGAATTATCTGCCCTTGACTTCCATGGCAACAATA